TTTCGAAGATACACAAAAAAAATTTAAAAATATACACGTATTTCATGGGCAACATGGAAGAATGCGATCAATGAAGGGATGAAACGAGCAATTCTTCAAGACTTGCAGTGTCTGCTTCATGAACATCAGGTTGTTTAGGAGTGCTTTAGAGCGCATGCCAAATGATGACTATAAAGTTGTCATAAAAGCAGATAAACGACCATCTGGAACACACAAAAGGACATTTAATGCTCCAATAATAGACGAAGTCGCCATCCTGATTGTGAACAATTTGATGAATGAGGAGATACATTATCGGGTTTTACTCTTGATCGAAGATAAGTGTTACCTCATGTGCGGTAATATATTAATCAGGTTAGAATGCCAGCGCCAAATCGTGAAATGAATGAGGCATTTAATCGAGAATTAGAACGGGAACGTGAATATGATCACCAGGAATTAAATTTATTAGTTCAAACGAATGTACCCCTGTTGAATTCCCAACAGAAGAAAGTTTATGATACTTTAATGAAGGCAATCGATGAAGAAAATGGTGGTTTATATTTCCTAGATGCCCCTGGTGGTACTGACAAGACATTCCTCATGTCATTAGCTTTAGCAACTGTTCGGGCGAGATCCAACATAGCTGTTGCAGTTGCTTCTTCGGGAATAGCAGCCATATTGTTAGAAGGATGCCAAACGGCTCATTCAGCATTAAAATTACCGTTAAATCTTCAAATTATTGAGGAACCAACGTGTAATATTGCAAAACACTCGGAAATGGCCAAAGTTTTAATGGTATCGAAATAAAATTTTTCCTTTTCATATATAAAACAAAAAAAAATTTTCTTTATCTTTTAAACACCAAACGAAGTTTTACCTAAAACTATCGCCATCTGGTGGCGGAACGGAGTTCGCTGGGTTTACTAGTTTCTTTATAAACGTCAAAATCATTAAATTCTATTTTATGTTATTAAATTTTCCTGTTAAGAAATAGGGGGTCGGTTTCGGACCACTACTTTTGAGTACGACCAAAAAGTGGAGTTTTATATTTGCCTGAATATCTAACGCTTCAAAGCACCTACGCACTTACTTATCAATTAGATGTATAGTAAACTGATCCCTCTACATAGTAAATTTTTGAACTGAACTGAAAAATTGATTTTTCTCACCTTTATCGCCTTTGCCATTTAGGGGGTCGGTATCGGGCCACCCTCCCCTATATATGAAAAGATAGGTAATTTTTTCTAGTTTTAGAATACATTTAAAAAAAAATTTTTGGACTCCGTCGGTCCTGTAGAGGATCTCCCGAGGCTACTAGTTGAACTACGTGGGAGATGTCTTTAAAAATACACTCATTACTCCAAAACTATTTACCGGAATACTGTAAAATTTTCAGGCAATATTCTTAAATATATATGGGTGAATCCATATCAGATTTGCAGTCGATATTGGGAAATTCGATGAGATATTTTTTTTCATGCTCTTTATCGAAAATAAATCGACACGTATTTTTTTATATGGCTCAGAAAATTTTTTTGACAAAGTTATGATTTTTTGAATTTTTGATGAGCTGCCTTTTTATTGATGACAGTCGCGTTTTCCAGCCCCAATAACTCGATAACCGTACGTCGCAGAAAAAAATCTATAGGAAGTAAAAATTTCATCCTTCCTTCTTCTTTGCAAAACTTTCGTGAAATAATTTTTTTAAACAATTTTTCACCACAAAAAGTTCATAAGATTACAACAAATTAATTTTTCTCCAACTTGGACAATTTTGATTTTTTTTTTTTTTTTTATCATAATAAATCCCTCGAATCCTTCTTATGAACATACTAAAATTTCAGAATGGTATCAAAAGTAGTTTTTGAGTTATAGAATATTCAAGATCAAAATGCACAGTCCGCGCGCTCGGTCTCAGGGCGTGCGCCGACCAATGACTCTAACGAGCGTCAATTCGCTTCGCAGGTCGATGCTGCTGATAAAAATTGTATCATCTACTCGTCTTAAAATCGACTCGATATTCTGCAATGGGTAAGCATCCTTCACAGTCACGGCATTCAGCTTCCTTGCGTTTAAACACAGTCTGTTCTTCCCAGGCTTCTGAACCAACGTGGTCCGATTGTTCCATGGACTTTCACTGAGTTCAATAACTCCTAAGCGCAACATTTCATCCACTTCAGCGAATAATAACTGCTGTTTTGCCGGAGATACTGGGAAAAATCTCTCCTTGACGGGTACTGTGCCTTCAACCAACTGGATCGTGTGTTCTTCTACTCGGGTGAGTCCTAATCCTTGTTTTTCATACGTTAGAAAACATGCTCTGGCTTCTTCTAGTTTCTCGTTCTGTTCTGATGATAATGTATGAGGTTCTATTGGCTCTCCTTTGGACAGGAACTCAGATTCCATCTGCTGCAGTGATTCCACGCCGACTACTTCTGGTGCTAATTTAAACATTCTCCAAAAATCTATGCCCAAATATAACTTTTGCTTCAATGATGGACACAGCAGTATTGGTACTCGCTGGGTAATCCCATTATAGGAGATGTTGGGATGGATCTTCCCTACTACTCGGTGCTGTGTACCTCCTGCTGATTTCATAATTGACAAAGACTTTTCGAGCTCCACTCCTAACGTCTTCACTATTTCCAGGCAACCTTCTCCCAGTAAACTGACGGATGCTCCGGAATCCAGAAGGCCCATGAGCTCGTGTCCTTCGATTTTGACTTGCGCGAATGGTCTGTTGTCGCCTTTAACTGCAGACATGATCGCGGAACAGATCTCTCGTCGCTGTGCCTTTCGCTGGTTACATCTCTCCCGTGCTCTGGCTATCTTTGGCGACAAGTTCGGGACCGTGTTCGTTTGTGTCCCAAATATTCTGTCCCGTGCCTCTTGGTATCGTTTTTTCTTACTTCTATTGGCTCGCGTTTGGAAAAGCTTGAGGTATGATTGGGTTTATTTAAATTAAACATAATCTTATTAATATTATTTATTTTATCGTCTTTCCTATCATCTAGCATACAATTTTGCGAGGTTTCTATTTCGTGTTGGCAAACGGATTGGAACGTGGCTCCTCGCTCTTGGCCAAGTTCCTTTCACCGTTTCCCGTTCGGCACCGTGGACACTTTGGAAGTACTACGTCAGGCAGCCCACATTTGTAGCAAAATCTATTGCGGACATCCGAGACGCATTCTACGAACGTATGGCCCCGTTGTCCACAATTCCAGCAGGTAAGTGGTTGCCGTTCCTTGCCGTCTTCTCGATGTTTCTGTACCGCTTCCACCTCATCCTGCTCCAATGATGTGCCTTCTTCTGCATTTGGTTCCTGCCCAATCTCCTCTACTCTCGGGCGGTCCTTATATCCCCGGTGCGGCTCTGGATTGCTCGGATGTCTCGCCCATCGGGTTGCCAGCATCTTCTCCGCACCGTGACACTCTTGCCGCAGTTGGTCCAAATTGGTAATGTATATTGGATATATGATTCTAGACACCTGATCCCTAACATTCATCTTAATGACTTTGATCAGGTCGAAGTCCGAAAACGACATCTCCAATCGCGACCTCAGAGCCAACATCGTCTGTATATACACTTCGATGGTCTCTCCCGGCTTCTGCTTCCGTTCCCGCAGCTCATATTCTTTTTCGAAATTTGAACGCTGGCTCTGGAACTGTTGCTGCAGAGCGTACCTCAGGTAAGGCCACTCTGGTCGCTCTACGGACCTCACATACATCCAATACCATTCTTTGGCTTGTCCTTCGACTAATACGTGAAACTCTCTTAGGACTTCCTTCCATGGAACCTGATAGGACTTCTGCAGATGCTCAAGACGGAAAATAAATTCGGACACCGGCATGCCTTTAGGACTACCATCAAAGGTAACACCCCATTTCTGCAATTTACCAACTTGAACTAATGGGTCATTTTTATTCCCGTTTCCCAGACGCGGATCCTGCCCAGAATAACTGCCATTTGGCATTCTGCTTTGGCCGGACGGAGGTTCCTGATATGCTGTTCGTGCCCAGTGAACTTGACGACCGCTTTCTTCCTCCGGCTGTTCGATGTTCAGGGACAACTGGTTCGAAAAAATTTGTTCCTGCGTTATCGTCGGTCTCAACAATCCTTCCCAGTTTCGATCGCCCCTCTGTTGGTCAGACGGTGGCCCTTGTGGTGGAAAATGCACTCCCCCAGGACGACGTGCGACTGATACCATGCCTGGGGCTTGTTGTAGTGGCGTCCTACGATCGACTGGCTGACTCGAGTTCGGCTGCGGAAATTTTTGCTTGGGCGGTGGAATCCCAGAAGTCGGCTGCTGCTGAGCTTGACCCGCATGGCTCTGACCCGATGTTTGCCATGCTGCGTTCTCCTTCATAACTTCTCGCCGCCACTCCGACATACAGTCGTTTATATCTTTCATAAACTGCATCATGTCCTGTTGCATCTGATGCTTAAATGCCTCGTACTCCATGGACATTCCCATCTGGTAGGTCTGCTGTGCTTGCAATAACGCTCCATTCACTCCAGTCCTTATTTCCGATGGCAGATTTTTCGGGATTGCCCCTGTTCCGTCCGTAGGTTGATACCCGCTCGCCTCACCAGACTCCATGCCTTCAGGACGAGATGTGTTTTCCAGTTTTTCTTCTCGGTTGGACTTTGATCGAGTTATTGGCGGACTCATTCCCACTGGTCCCCTGTTTTTAATGAACTCTAAACTTCTCCTTATCTTTCTTCCGATTTTTATCTTCTCCTTATCAATATTTTGCATATCCTACTTGCCTCCTCAATTTTCCTATAATCAATTTTTTTTTTTTTTTATTATTATTTTTTAAACTCTGTTTCTTAAATTTTTCTTAATCTAGGGGGTGAGATTTGTCATATATTATTTCCACAAATTTTTCCCTCAAATTATATACCTGCTCCTAATCCGTCGTGCAAAATTTAAATTACTGGCAAACTTCTTTATCCTCTTTTTTTTTTTAATAAATTTAATTTAATTTCTTTTTCCTTTCAGTCCATATTGGCGACTGCTGGGCATCGATTCTACACATTGTACACAGTGTACATGGACCAAAACAATCCCAAACAAAGACACAAAATATTTAGGTAAGTTACTAAACATTTACTTTACTTTAGACAACATTTAAAAAAAGACAACTGTTTATTTTTTTCCAGACACTGGGTACCTTCTAGCCGGTCTTCCTTGCTCATCAAGGCCTGTGCTCAGCAAAAAAAAACTGATTTCCCGGAATTTTCCCACTGTGGCTACGATGGGTCTGACCTTCTTAGTCTGCCCACGGTCCAAACAGATGGTTTCCGAGATCTTTGTTACTGGCCTCTACCCTGGTGAGTGTCTACTATTTATCTCTACTTAATTCCATATTATTAATTTTCTTTTCTATTTTTTTGTTTGGGCGCCATTTGTTATGTCCTTCCTTTTTTTCTTTTGGTGTACGGTGCCGCTTGCCGACTAGCCATCGATATCCCAGGGAGGGGAACAACCATAGCGAACACTTACACGGCAGTCACAACAAAAATAAACAAAACGGAATTTTGAACCTACAATCTGAACATGGACTAAAAACAACGGATTTTGGGACAGATACATATGGACTCAAAAGATAGAATTAGAGTCTTCTGAGGCCCTCCCAACCATGGGTGCATCTTATATTGCACCTCCCTAATATCATATTCATGGAAATATTTATTTTATCTCACTTAGAAATAAATAATAAATAAATACATAATGAATAAATATGGAGAATATCATATGAGGTTAAATATATATGTAATTACTATTGTATATAAATAAATAAATAACTCAATAATTTAAATAAATAGGTTAATTCAAATCACTTCATTTTCTTTTGGAATTTCTGGGACTAGTATTCTTCCATTTTAATTTTTTTAATTCTAGGTGGGTTTTTTTTGTTGTTACTTAAATCTTATTAATTTTTCTGATTAAATAGATAAATAAATAAAAAAAAAACCTGGGGCCATTCAGAGCGAGTGGCCGATTTTGCACTACGAAAAATTCGCCCTCGTTCGTATTGTGTCTCCGTTTCAAATCGTTTGGAATCCAGTCCTCCAGTAAATCTTCTATTTTCTTGAATTTCTTTAAACAAAACAAACAAAATTTGGGTTTTCACTATCCTCTCCTTTTTTTATTATAATTTTTTTTGTATAACTCACTTATAAATTGATTATGTAAGTTTAACCTCCTTGATATCTGAGCCTCTCTTCATTATTCCTCAAAAACCACTCAAAAATTTTTCACCTCGACTTCGGTTTATTTGGGATTCAGTATATTCGGGGAATCAGTTCCTGAGGCTTAAAAAAAAAGTCGCAACCCTGCCTGGACTCACGCATAATCGATAACTTATCATCGGCGGCCGTTGGTAAACATACATTGTTTACATTTTTTTTAGTTTTTAAATTTTTCCGTTTGGCCGCACATAACACGGTGCAATTTCAAATTGGCATATCTCTGAAAAAAAATCATTAAATAACAAAATTCAAAATGAATATGAATTCTTCAGGTTAGTACTATGTGTTGATACTAATATGTTGCGTGTTTTGTTCGTATTTTTCTAACAATTTGTATATTTAGCAAGTGTTGTCCCCTTGTCACTTTTGGAAAAAAAGTTGAACTTTCCAAAAGGTTCAAATTGTATCAGTGAGTGTCCATATACATGTTGTAGATCTTTCAATTCTGAATTCAAAATATATAAGCTCATTATGCGTTTTTTGCGGTTTTCTGCGTAATTTGAATTATTAGGGAGCATATATTAGGAAGAATACATAGAATAATACAAAAAAAAATTTTTTTTGTCTTGAATAACTTCCATATTTATTATCCGATTTGGACCAAATGTGCAGGACGTTTTGAAATAGGACATTTATAATGTGTTTCAAAATTGGGGTCTCTAACTTGAAAATTGCTTTAGATATTCGTTTTTTTTCCATTTCTGTGGCCGGAGGAAGGGGCGTTGACACGCCCACTTTTCTAAAATACGTTCCTATAGTAATAACATTCATTATACAAGAAACCTGCATTCAAAAATCTTGTTAATTTCAAAAACGGGTCAAATTCAACATAGTGCATACGAAAACTCCTCTGAAGAACACATGGACACGAGTGCATAAACATCATTACACTCCACACGCTCTGAAATTTGCGACTAACTAAAACTTAAAATATTGTCAGCTAAATCTAATAAGTTAAGCACTACACTGAAATCAAAAGAAAAAAACAACCAAAAAACTAAAACTGATAAGAAAACTAAAAGCAAGATATCTGGAGATATGTATACAATAAGTACTGATGAAGACTTGGAATTATAAAATTATACAAAATATAGTAAACAAAATTATTTAAGTTCTAGTTAGCCTTAACCTATATTCTTATTCTTAACATGCTAAAAATATTACAATTAAATGTAAATGGATACCTCAATAATTATAACCACCTACAAATACTTATAAAAAAACACAACCCTAAAATAATATCCATACAAGATACACACCTCCACTCTAAAAATAATATTCCCATCCCAATAAACTTCACTCTCTACCACATAAATAACTCAAACAACCCCTATGGCGGAGTAGCCCTTCTTACTTATAAAAAAACACAACCCTAAAATAATATCCATACAAGATACACACCTCCACTCTAAAAATAATATTCCCATCTCAATAAACTTCACTCTCTACCACATAAATAACTCAAACAACCCCTATGGCGGAGTAGCCCTTCCTTACAACAACAACAAACCCAAATCCGCAATATAAGTTTTGACTCAATCGCCGTAACCGTACATTCTAAAATAAAATTCACTATTATTTCCAGCTACATACCTCCCAACAAACCTTTCACTCTACAAGAATTACAGGACACCTACAATTATATAAATACCCCTATTCTGATAACAGGCGATTTTAACAGCTGGCACAAAAGTTGGGGATCACAAAACAATAACTCACGAGGAAATCACATATTATTCAAATTTATAAACCAATCTCTTTTAACCACTCTTAATAATGGCTCCCCCACCCACTTCACTACACACCACACCTTTACACATATTGACCTTTCTCTAGCTTCCCCTGAACTATACCTATACTATAAATGCACAATCGAAAACCACCTCTCAGGTAGTGACCACTTCCCGATCTCAATACAACTCTTTGAAAATGATTCAACTTACCCCTCCGTCATTAAACCTAAGTTCAATATGGATAAAGCCAACTGGCCTCTCTTCCAAAAATTTTGTAAACAATTTTCCGACGAAAGACCACTCAGCCAACCAATAAACCAGGAAACTGCCCACCTTTGTGCCATCATAAGGCACAGCGCTCATTTATCCATACCCCAATATCACCCAAACAGGTCCCCTGGTGGGACACCGATCTGCAAAAACTGAAAACCAAAAAAAAAATTAGCCTGGCAAAACATGTGTCGCAATATAAATACATCAAATATAATAACTTACAAAAAAAGCCAACGCAATTCTCAAACGTGAAATAAAGCAAAAAAAAAAAACAAAGCCCTGCACGAATTTACCTCAGATATAAATCCACAAACTCCAATTCCAACAATATGGAAAAAAAATCAATAGATTCTGTGGCCTCAAAACTAATATTCAGATCCATTGTCTCATTAACCCCAGTAATATTTCCGACACCCATAAAAACAAATATGAGATCTCCAAAGCCCTATGTGAATTCTGGTCAAATGCATCACTCAATAATAACTTCCACCCCACTTTTAGATCTCACAAAGAAAACATAAATTACAATTTCTCCCACAGTACATCCTCTCTAACCCAACCCTTAGAATGCAATATTTCTATTATAGAATTAAAAAGCACCATAAACCAACTTAAAGGTAAAACACCAGGTAGGGACCGCATCAGTTACCCAATGATAAAAAATCTACCAGATGCGTCAATGCAAAGGCTACTTAAACTCTATAACAGTGTTTCCAAACTTGCAAGATCTATATGGCAATTAGTACCCACCAAAAATCTACCCGCGACCCACCAGTGGGTCGCGACCCACACTTAGGGAAATACTGCTCTATAACAATATCCTCAACGCACACATTCCACAGCAATTTAAAGTTAGTAACATTATTCCAATATTAAAACCGAACTCAAACAAAACAGAAATACATTCATATCGTCCTATATCTTTAAATAGCTGTTTATCCAAAGTTATGGATAAAATAATATCCAAAAGACTATGGTGGCTAGTTTCCAACAGCGAGCTACTCGATAGTCGTCAAATGGGCTTCAGAAAGGGAAAATCGGTTTCAGACTCTCTAGCAACGCTAGATTATCTGACTACCACCGCCCTATCCAGAAAAAGTCACCTTTCAATAATATCACTAGATTTCTTAAAAGCATTTGACAAAATAGGAATTTACACAATCATTGATGAACTCGTTATTTGTAAATTAGGGCCTAAAATGATTAAATATATCATAAACTTTCTAACTAACCGAAAAATCTGCGTTCAAATTCAAAACATCCAATCCCAACCTTTACCACTTGAAAATGGAATCCCACAAGGATCACCATTATCCGTAATCCTTTTTGCAATTGCCTATAACAAATTAAATGGAATCATAGGTCTTCACAAATCGTTCGAATTCACAGCATACGCAGATGACTATACAATTATAAAAAGACACAATAGAAGAGATACGTCAATAAATATCAACCCACTGCTAACAGACATTCAAGAATGGTGCAACTACTCTGGAGCCAGTCTTTCCATCCCTAAATCTAAATATTTACACGTCTGTCGCAAAAAGAAATGCAACTTCAAAATACATAGCACTTTCAATTTAAAAAACGAAAAGTCGTTAAAAATATTAGGTGTTACTATAACTAATAATTATAAATGGGACACACACATAGACCAATTAGTAGTACAAATTTCTAAAAGACTAAATATTATAAAATGTCTCTCAAGCACAAGTTTCAACTGCCACATTAAAACTATTATTTATATAATTAACTCAGTTATCATGTCAAAAATTTATTACGGGTTATTTTTATACGGAAAAGCACCCAAAGCAAAACTTAATAAAATAAAAACGATATACCACTCAGCGATTAGAATAGCCTTCGGAGCATTTCGCTCCTCACCAATAAACAACCTGCTATATGAAGCTAACATAAGACCAATTGATCAGAGAACTATGCATGCCATTTTAAAAAACTTTAAAATGATTTCAACCGCAAAGAAAACACCTCTAGAACAGATTATTAAAAAAATCTTGAAAGCAAAACGGATTCCAAAATTTTCATCAACAATAAAAGATACGATTGACCACTGCAAAGCATTACTATTACACCCAATCTCCATAACAATCAAAAAAGAAACCACGCCAACGTGGTCCTTTAACTTTTCTAAAATAAACAAATCCTTACACACATCAACAAAACCAAACACTCCACCGATATTCTACAATCAAAAGTTCCAAGAATTGAAAGATACCCTGCAGTTCCAAAAGTGCCTTGTCGTGGATGACATGGACGACTACTCACTGATGTCAGTGTCCGAAGCACCTGGAGCCGCACTGGTGCCATTTCATATAAAGCTCTTGTATAGCA